ACCCCCACCACCCTCCTCCACCCCCCACTCCCCACCACCCACCACCACCCCCTGCCACCACCTCCCCACCACCCCACCCTCCCCACCACCCCCACCACCCCCCACCTCTCCACCACCCACCACCACCTCCACCACCCTACCACCCCCACCACCCCTCTACCACCCCCTGCCACCCCCACCTCCCTACCACCTCCACCTCCCCACCACCTCACCACCCTCGCCACCCCCTACACCTCCCACCACCACACCACGCCCCACCACCCCACCACCCCCCACCACCCTCCACCACCCCTCCGCCACCCCCACACCCCCTGCCACCCTCTGCCACCCCCACCACCCTCCACCACCTCTGCCACCCCCACACCCCCTGCCACCCCCACCACACCTCTGCCACCCTCCACCACACCTCTGCCACTCCACCACTCCCCCACCACCCTCTGCCACCCCCTGCCACCCCCTACCACCTTCTACCACCCCCACCACCCCTACCACCTCTACTCCTACCACCTCCCATAAACCCCCTACCACCCTCCACCACCCTCTACCACCCCTGCCACCCTCCCACCACCTCTACCACCCTCTGCCACCCTCCTGCTCCACCGCCCACCACATGGAGTTTCTGACTTACTGAAAATGCTCAAAATCGTGATGCAGTTAATACTCACCAACTGTTCCCTCCTTCCTTCTTCTCCTTCTCTCCTTCACCCTTTCTCTCTCTCCTTCACTCCTTCTCTCTCCTTCACCTTCTCTCTCCTTCACTACCACCAGGTAAACAGCGCCACCCTCGTCATAGCGGTCAACAGGTGAACTATTAATCATTTTACCGATATAATAAACTTTTTAACCTGATTGGAATTCCCAAGGCACAGGTAGGGTATGTTGTGGGTATGTTGTGGGTATGTTGGAGTATGTTGTGGTTATGTTGGGTACGCCTTTTCAACCGTGGTCAGTAGCTTAAATTATGGCTGACTGGAGCCATATAATTACTGAACTAGCAACATTGTCTGAGTTGTTTAGTGGTAGCTGACGTGTTGCTGTCTTATGATTGGTTAATGCCTCCCAACCTAACCTAAATCCAAACCAAACCCCAACCTAACCTAACCTGATGCTAACTTGGAGGGATGGAGGCAGTGAGGGGTCTGGAGGGGCAGGGAGGGTCTGGAGGTCTGGAGGGGCAGGAGGGCCTGGAGGGGTAGTGAGGGGTGTGGAGGGGTCTGGAGGGTCTGGAGGGGCAGTGGAGGGTCTGGAGGCCTGAGGGCAGTGGAGAGGTCTGGAGGCCTGAGGTAGTGGAGGGGTCCGAGGCAGTGAGGGGCCTGGAGGGAGTGAGGCCCGAGGGGTCTGAGGTAGGTGTATGGGGGGTCTGGAGGGCAGTGGAGGCAGTGAGTGTGAAGGCAGACCTCCAACATCCCCCACTATCCTCCCCGTCCTCCTACACCCCTCCCACACCCCCCTCCCACACCCCTCCCTCCTACACCCTCCCTCCCACACCCTCCCCTCCCACACCCTCCCTCCTCCCCACACCTCCTCCCTCCCACACTCCTCCTCCCACACCTCCTCCTCCTCACACCCCTCCCCCACCCCATACAAAGCGCCGCACACTTTCGGTTCATTAAACAAACTAAACTTGGCAAGATAAATGTTCACTAAGTCTCAGCGCCCCAGCTCCTGGGAGAAGGGGTGTGTCTCAGCGCCCCAGCTCCTGAGAAGGGGTGTGTCTCAGCGCCCCAGCCCCTGGAGAAGGGGTGTGTCTCAGCGCCCCAGCCTGGAGAAGGGGTGTGCCCCAGCGCCCCAGCCTAGGGGTGTGTCTCAGCGCCCCAGCTCCTGAGAAGGGGTGTGTCCCAGTGCCCAGCTCCTGAGAAGGGGTGTGTCTCAGCGCCCCAGCTCCTGAGAAGGGGTGTGTCTCAGCGCCCCAGCTCCTGAGAAGGGGTGTCTCTCAGCGCCCCAGCTCCTAATGTGAGAGCTAGCTGGGGGCGTGGGGAAGGTGGGCTAGGACTCAATGGGGGTCCTACACGTCTTTCTTGTTATCTCCCGCCATCCTGAAGGCTTGAGGAAGAGAGATTGGGGGTCCTTCAGCGCCCCAGCTCCAAGGGTCTTTTCAGCGCCCCAGCTCCTAATGTGAGAGCTAGCTGGGGGCGTGGGGAAGGTGGGCTAGGACTCAATGGGGGTCCTACACACCTTTCTTGTTATCTCCCGCCATCCTGAAGGCTTGAGGAAGAGAGATTGGGGGGTCCTTCAGCGCCTTCTATAGGATCAACCGGAGTAAACATCAGGTAGCCATTTTGAAATACCTTAATGACGTCATATCAGTAGCCATTTTGAAACCTTAATGACGTCATATCAGTAGCCATTTTGAAATACCTTAATGACGTCATATCAGTAGCCATTTTGAATACCTTAATGACGTCATATCAGTAGCCATTTGGAATTACCTTAATGACGTCATATCAGTAGCCATTTTGAAATAAATACGCATCAGTAGCCATTTTGCCTTAATGACGTCATATCAGTAGCCATTTTGAATACCTTAATGACGTCATATTAGGTAGCCATTTTGAAAGACCTTGAATGACGTCATATCCGTGACAACAAAACATACCAAGTTCTTCCTGTATAAGCTTACCAAACAGGTTAGGCTGTGCCAGGAAGGCATAGTAGCCAGGCCAGGCCAGGCCAGGCTGCCGTGCTGGTGGCCAGGCCAGGCCAGGCCAGAGCCAGGCCAGGCCAGGCCAGGCCAGGCCAGGCCAGGCCAGGCTGTGCCAGGCTGTGCTGTGCCAGGCTGTTGTGCCAGGCTGTGCTGTGCTGTGCTGTGCCAGGCCAGTTGTGCCAGGTGCCAGGTTGTGCCAGGTGCAGGCTGGTGCTGTGCCAGGCCAGGCTGAGGCTGTGCTGTGCTGTGCCAGGCCAGGTTGTGCTGTGGTTGTGCTGTGCCAGGCTGTGCTGTGCTGTGCTGAGCCAGGCCAGGCTGTGTGTTGTGCCAGGCTGGTGCTGTGCTGTGCTGTGCTGATGCTGTGCCATGCTGCAGTTGTGCCAGGCTGGTACAGCTGTGCCAGGCTGTGCCAGGCTGTGCTGTGCCAGGCTGTGGCCAGGCCAGGCTGTGCCAGGCCAGGCCAGGCCAGGCCAGGCCAGGCCAGGTGACCAGGCCAGGCCAGGCCAGGCTGTGCCAGGCCAGGCCAGGCCAGGCCAGGCCAGGCTGTGGCCAGGCCAGGCCAGGCCAGGCCAGCCAGGCCAGGCCAGGCCAGGCTGGTGCTGAGGCCAGGCCAGGCCAGGCCAGCCGCTGTGCCAGGCTGTACTGTGCCAGCCAGGCCAGCCAGGCCAGCCAGGCTGGCCAGCCAGGCCAGGCTGTGCCAGCCAGGCTGGGCCACCCGCTGGCTGGCGCGGCTGTGCCAGAGCCAGGCCTGGGCCAGGCTGTGCCAGGCCAGCCTGTGCCAGGCCAGGCCAGGCCAGCCAGGCCAGGCCAGGCCAGGCTAGCCATGCCAGGCCAGGCCAGGTTGTGCCAGGCTGCCAGGCCAGAACAAGGCCAGGCTGCACCACGCTGTGCTGTGCTGACCAGCTGTGCCACCAGCCAGCTCACCACCACCACCACCACCACACTGTGCTCAGGACACTGTGCCATGCCATGCCAGGCCAGGCCAGGCCAGGCTGTGCCAGGCGCCAGGCCAGGCCAGGCCAGGCCAGGCCAGGCCAGGCCATGCCAGCCAGGCCAGCTGTGCTGTAGCTGTGCCAGGCTGTGCTGTGCCAGGAAGCCAGGCCAGGCCAGGCCAGGCCCCAGGCCACCACCGGCTGTGCCAGTACAGGCCAGGCCAGGCCAGGCCAGCCAGGCCGTGCCAGGCCACAGGCTCAGGTTGTCCACAGGCCAGGTTGTGTTGAGTTGTGTGCTGTGCTGTGTTGTAAGCCAGGCTCAAGCACGCTGTGCTGTGCTTGTGCTGCTACAGAGCTGTGCTGTGCTGTCCACCAGTTGTGCTGGCTGTAACTGTGCTGTGTTGTCCAGCTGTGCTGTACCACCCACCCACCAGCCAGTTGTGCTGTGCTTGTGCTGTAGTTGTGCCATGCTGTAGCTGATGTTGTGCCAGGCTGTGTGCTGTGCTAAAACAGGTTGTGTTGTGCTGTGTTGTGCTGGTGCTGTGTTGTAGCCAGTTAGGCCAGGCAGTGTGCTGTGACAGGCTGTGTTGTATTGTGCTGTGCAATTGGTGTTGTGTTGTGTTGCTGAACAGCTGCTGTCTGTGTGCTAGGCCAGTGTTGTGTTGTACAGAAGCTGAGGTGTTATGGACACAGCTAGGGCAGGAACAACCAAAACAAAAGCAGGTTAGGTTAAAGCTAGGCCACACATCCGCGATCTCGCATCAACAAAACTATACAGGAAACTCTTACCCTCAGCAAACAGGAGTCTCACAAACTCCTCACCCCTCACCCTCCCCTTCCCCTCACCCCTCCCCTTCACCCCTCACCACCCCTACCTCACCAAGTTCCCTCACTCCTCATCCTCACCTCCCCTCCAGCATACATTAAGCCGACACAATTCTACGATCTCTTAGGTGCATCGTAAAATAACGAATCGTCGCACCTTCCTGCAGCGCTTGCTACCTCACATAGCCTTCGAGCCGCCCACCACCTAGAGCCAGGGCGTAGCGTGGGGCGGGGCGTGAAGGTGGGGGGCGTGGGAGTGTTTGTGTACCAACAGATGTGTGTGTGTATAGAGAGTAGATGAGACAAGATGATAATTAACCTAAAATAAGACGAATTATATATTTTAGGAGATGGCGCCATCTTGTTTGTTATTCTAGCAGAAGTGCTTAACCCGTATATATTTTGTTCCTATATACGCATTTTATACTCTTCCTGGGGATTGGTACTCGTTCCTGGGGACCGCTTGGTACCAGGTAATTTACCGGGGATTGGTGGTACTTCCGGCAATTTCCCTTAGGACCACAGGTACTCCGGATACTTCCCTGGGACCGTTCCCGGTACTTCCTCGAGATATTATGACAGTAGCTGTACTTATAACCAAACTCCTAACCAAAACCCTAACCAAACCCTTAACGCAACCACAACTAATGTTATTTTTTCTATTTTTCCAGAGATCCTTCACGCTGATCATGGAGGTCTGGACTTGACCAATGGCAGTGACTCATCTGATGGGGTAAGTAAGGGTAAGGGGATATAGTAAGGGTAGGTGTAGGGGAGAATTGTTGGTTAGAGTTCCTAGGTGGCAGCCTTGTTCACCTTAGGTAGGCAATTAAATGATTATAATTACATGCTACCTGAGACACCTATTGTAGCCTCTAACTGACCCCCAGCCTCACTAATCGCCCACTTGACCCACCAAATGGCCTCTGGTACTAAAGTTAAGATATTGAGGCCACAGCTAGCCCTATAGATCTTGGATATCTGGCCCCGGCTATTCCTTCTACCTCACTACTGGATGGCCAAATGGGGTTATCTTCACCCTCACAGAGTTCCTCAGAGTCTTACAGAGTCTCCTCAGAGTCTCAACAGAGCCTCCCAGAGTCTCCCAGAGTCTCAGAGTCTCTCAGAGTTCTCCCAGAGTCTCACACAGAGCCCTGAGTCTCCCAGAGGCCTCACAGAGTTTCACAGAGTTCCCAGAGTCTCAGAGTCCCTCAGAGTCTCCCAGAGTCTCCCAGAGTCTCCCAGAGTCTTACAGAGTCCTCATAGTCTCCCCAGATTCTCACAGAGTTCTCCCCAGAGTCTCCCAGAGTTCTCAGAGCTACACAGAGCCTTAGCAGAGTCTCTCAGTCTCCCCAGAGTCTCACAGAGTTCTCCCAGAGTCTCCCAGAGTCTCCCAGAGTCTCACAGAGTCTCACAGAGTCTCCTCATAGTCTTCCCAGATTCTCACAGAGTCTCACACAAATTCCCAGAGTTCCCAGGTCTCCCAGAGTTCCCAGAGTCTCAGAGTCTCCTGAGAGTCTCTCAGAGTTCTCCAGAGCTCCTACAGTCCTCCAGAGTTCTCCTTTCCAGAGTCTCCAGTCTCTCAACGTTCCGCCGCTGACAGAAGGTAGAGAACGTCACAGGCGCTGATAGAGTGATATCAGACACTTTCACACAACAGACGATCACCTCCAAACAGCCCTCAGGGGTACGTTGAAAACACCCTGTGATGATACGTCAGGACGCTGATGATTGCCCGTCTTGGCGCTGGTATCCATTCCACAGTTTTGTGCCCCTGTGAGAAGATATCCTAGGCGATAGCTGATTGCCCGTGCTGGTGATAAGAGGTTTATCGTTGTTCACCCCTGTGGCATGAAGGAATATCTCAAGCGTGCTGATTGCTTGCACTAGGCGCTAAGTTCACTCTAGACAATTTTACACCCCTCAGGAGACGAAGACACTACGCCAGACGATGCTATTACACACCAACGTAAAGATCACTTCAGACAATTTTAAGAGCCCCTCAGGAGACGAAGAGACTACGCCAGACGATGCTTATTGCTCACACTTACGTTGGGAGTATCAGTTCCAAACAGCTTAAGCCCCCCAGTAGTGAAGGTAGTGTGTGTGTGCAGTGTGTGATGTGTGTGTGTGTGTGTGTGTGTAGTGTGGACCAGCCTGACCACCGCACAAAACAAGACGATGAGGGTGAGGGACGAGGCGGTGGAGGGTGAGGTTTTTATACTGAATGTCTCGACTGAACGACTGTGGTGCCTGAAACGATTAAAATCTCTTCACCTTCGTCCTCAACCTCTTATCCCCTCTCTCTCTCTGTTCTTCTTCTCACAAACAGCATCACCCTATAATCAAGAATATGAACCATCGCGGTCGACACAGGTGGCACAACAGGTATTAATTACCATAATTAAATAGTAGAAATATATATATATATATATATATATATATATAAATATATATATATATATATATATAAAGCATGAGACAGACAGATGATAGATAAACACAATATTTCAACATATCTAAATATATAAAAATCATATTATATAACTAAACTAACCCAACCAAAACCCAACCAAACCCAACCAATCAACGTCACTTTCCACCACAGACAAAAAAGCAATCAGATGCCATGACCTACAGTGGCATCTATCCCCGACAATCAAAGGAAACACCCTGACACACCAAGGTCAGCAGCCAGGTGACCTACAGGCAAGAGTACTATGTGATGAGTACTACAACACCACCTGACCCAAGTTCTGTAGGCCAAGAGAAGATACCTTGGTCACCTTACTCAGACTACATCAGGCAGACAACCTGAGCCCAACAGGTGAGGTCCTAACTCAATACAGTGAAATTTACCTGTGTATATCTGTTGGCCAATGTATACAGGTGTTACTAATGTGCATACCTGCTGATTAATGTGCACAGGTATGGTTAACGTACAGGTGTTGGCTACACGTACATCTGTTGTTAATGGTACACCCGTTGGTTAATGCGCTGTATATTAATGTACACGTGCCTTGCGTTCAACGTGACATCTGTTGCAACGTACAGGTGTTGATTAATGTACACCTGTTGCTAATGTGTACATCTTGTTGC